GCCCCCCTGGGACCCTCATGCCTCCATAAATATAGCATAATCTTACTGTATTCAAGCCTGAAGCTGTAACTCTGCATGCTGTTAGACTCAGAAAAACAAGCAGTCTGCTGACATCATTAGAAGTGATGGCCTAATCCAATCACAGTGCTTCCCCATAGGATTGGCTGAGACTGACAAAGAGGCAGATCAGGGGCAGAGCCAGCATGATTCAAACACAGCCCTGGCCAATCAGCATCTCCTCATAGAGATGAATTGAATCAATGAATCTCTATGAGGAAAGTTCAGTGTCTGCATGCAGAGGGAGGAGACACTGAATGTTTGGATGCATTTTAGGCAGCCATGACCCAGGAAGGATCTCTAACAGCCATCTAAGGAGTGGCCAGTGAAGTTATCACTAGGCTGTAATGTAAACACTGCATTTTCTCTAAAAAGACAGTGTTTACAGCAAAAAGCCTGACGGTAATGATTCTACTCACCAGAACAAATTCAATAAGCTGTAGTTCTTCTGGTGACTCGAGTGTCCCTTTAACTATGTTCATTGTCAGCCAGTCCACACAAGTTTTGTTCCCATACATCCCTCTTAAGTTTCCATACATAAGTAAGAGTATGTGAAAAGTAGTTAGGGTTGCCACCTTTCTTGGAAAAACATACCGGCCTTGCTAATTTGCATAATTAAATGGGTGACATCACATGATGTAAATCACAAGGAGTGAAATAAGAGAAAATGCTGTAAAATCACCAAAAAACTACTTAGTTTGATTCTGCTGTATAGATGGATTCCTCCCAGTACCCCATGTGTCGATTACTCCAGGTCTCAGTGCCCCATGTCTCCCAGTGTCCCCTAGTGTCGTGTCCCCAGGTCTCCCAGTGATCCTATGTATCACAGTGTCTCAATGCCCCATGTCTCCCTGTGTCCCCATGTATCCCAGGGTCCCCATGTCACTAGGAAGATGGGAAGACCTGGGGACACAGGGAGACCTAGGGACACGGAGACACCAGTGACACTGGGAGACTAGGGGACTCTGGCTGGGACTCATGAGGACACTGGGAAAATAGTGGACACTTGAAGACATGGGGACATAGACACCAGGGACACAAACACTAGATACACTGGCTGGGGGACATGGGGACATTGAGACATGGGGCACTGGGAGACATGGGGACAAGGAGACACCAGGGCCACAGACACTAGGGACACTAGCTTGGAGACATGGGGACATTGTGACACTTGAGGCAATGAGAGACATGGAGGCACTAGGAGACATGGGGACAGTGAGAGACTGGGAGACTAGGGGGCACTGAGACACCATGGACACTGGCTGGGAGACATGGGGACACTGTGTCCCCATGTGTCTGTGTCATAATGTCTCCCAATGTCCCTTAGTGTCTCAGTGTCTGCCATAATGTCTCCCAGTGTCCCTTAGTGTCTCAGTGTCTGCCATAATGTCTCCCAATGTCCCTTAGTGTCTGCCATGTCTCCCAGTGTCCCTTAGTGTCTCAGTGTCTGCCATAATGTCTCCCAGTGTCCCTTAGTGTCTCAGTGTCTGCCATAATGTCTCCCAATGTCTCTTAGTGTCTCAATGTCTGCCATAATGTTTCCCAGTGTCCCTTAGTGTCTCAGTGTCTGCCATAATGTCTCCCAATGTCCCTTAGTGTCTCAGTGTCTGCCATAATGTCTCCCAATGTCCCTTAGTGTCTCAGTGTCTGCCATAATGTCTCACAATGTCCCTTAGTGTCTCAGTGCCTGTCATAATGTCTCCCAGTGCCCCTTAGTGTCCCCATGTCTCCTTGCAGCCTTTCCCCCATCCCTTACTTCCCTGAGCTGTAGGCTGTCTCTGCAGGGTGGGAGTTGCTGTCTGGACTCTCTGTAGCTGCACCCCTGCAGATCAGTGAGTATAGATAGGCAGGGAGGGATATGCTGGAACTTCCTATCCCTGCCTCTCTCCATACACAGTGACCCCTACTGGCCAGTGCTGGTATTGCAGAGTAATCTCTTGTTTATACTGAGAAAAATACCAACATTTGTATTGCCAGTATCACTGCAATATTGGCACCAGCCAGGCAGCCTCAAATACTGGCTGTGCCAATAAAATAAAAGTCAGGTGGAATCCCTAAGAGTAGTGTGTGGAAAAAAAAAAAATTAAAACATTTTTTTTTTTTTTTTTTTATAAATCAATGGACCTATTCCATGGGCCTGGGCCTGGAGCTGCAGCTCCATCAGCCCCTATGTTAATCCGGCCCTGACTGGAAGCGGGTAAGCTGGCAGATTTCCACACTGCCACTGGACCAGAGCAGAAGTTTTGCCAAGGGAGCATCCAGCTGGAAGACCACCCCACCCTGACTCCCCCCATCACCGGGCCTAACGGGCCATCTTTTGTTCCAGCTTCTGTCTCAGGGAGAGGGGGAGATAGAGCCATTTCTGAGCAAGGAGATAGTCGCAGATGTTTTATTTTCAACCAAGTGAGGCATATCAGTGTTACTACGGGCCCCTCAAGCAAGTACAAAGACATTTCAGTATCATTGGATATCTATCCTGTGGATTACCATGCCTAGTCTAGAGGTGGTGTTAAGGCATATCTATAATTACCATAAGTGACCGCCCTTGTGTTCCAGACCAACATCAATCCAAATGGAATGTACTTGCCACAGAAATAATAATTGAATCTATGAATTTGTTAGTATTTTTCCATTCCATAGATATGTCACACACCTTATTTGCGACCTAATATAGCAGACATCACAATCCCTTCCCTTATGGTTAAGTTATGCCAATCATTTTTGGGCTTGTTTAGAAGATGGCACTCTTCACATTCCAAATATAACAAAAATTAGGCTTAGTTATTATACTGTGGTTAAATACTACTGTTTTTTTCTTTTGGATATGATACTGGAACAAGGCTAATGGCCATTAACATATCAAAGAGATTGACTCATCAATTAAGAGGAATAGGCCATTTGGCTGAAGCCAGACATTCATGCTTTTCAAGTGTAGAATCTCACACCTTGGAGAGCCTTTGATTAATCACATTCATATGCAATTTACACTATCCCTTCTGTCATCTGACCTCTGTGGGGGGTCCCAGCTTCAAAGAGGAATTACGGCTAAAAATGTTTTGACCTTCCATACAATCAAATTACCCATTTGACATTGACAATACCACCTCTACCAGGCAGGCATTTCATCTATGCACTACACAAATGACAATATTTCATAGTGCAATAATGAATTATGTACCCTTGCCGTGACAACATAGATATCACCTTAAGGATATATACTGCTTAGTAGTGGTTAGTGGTCTCCACTTCTAGTTGCAGCGCGATATGTAAACACACAAAACAGGACTTCCAGTGGTACTATATCAAGATATAAAAGTATCAAGTAATAAAGGTGTCCTACTTACACTTTTATAAGCAATAAAACCTGTTCTGGTGGTATAAGGTATTGGTGGTTTAATCCCCACCTGGGATATACAGGAACCAGGAAGCCAGTAGATGGACATAAAAGATGTCTCCAATATAATATGAAGAAATAGACTTTATTAAATAAAACAATTGGATAAAACCAATAACTAGAAATAAAATAGTCAACAGACTATAAAACATAATTAATGCGTTTGACCTTGGTTTCATCATAAGTGACAAGTGCCATCAACTTGAAATGTCACCAGTCGCTACTAGTTAAATTGCTCGAAAATGGTTTAAGATTGAAATGGAGGAGCAGCGTCAGAGGACTCCTGGCACTAGAGCCACTTCAATGAGCTGAAATGGTTATAGTGCCTACAGTATCCTTTTAATAATAAACTAGGGAAAAGCATTTTGATGTAATGTGTTTCTAAATTATATGAATGAAGCTAACCTGACAGCAAATTCTATAACTGGAAAACAGGCTCAATTACCCAGAGTCCACATGTAATATAATAACATTTACAAAAATAACATCTCAGTGAGACTTTCTCCTGTCAATGGGTAATTAACATATTGGAGTAGGTAGTTCTGCTACAGTAAACAGCATTGGGTAAGCTGGTACCTGATGAAGTTGTTCAATGAGGACCCACTTAAATGACACAGGGACCTATTTTTGTTGCCTATCCAGGTGTTCAAGAACCATTTATCTAATGTTTTATTCAAACCCTTTTCATACATAGCACCAATATCCAGTATGGCTGTCTCTTATGTAAAATGGACTATCCGGACTTATCTTTTTGAGAAAAGAGGGAGAGTAAGAGGGGGTGGCATGCTAAAGGCGTGATGGGAGTGGCTATAACTTCTCGTTCCAGGACATTTGACAGATATAATCACTCACGTCCCTGATCAGTGGAAGATAAATGACTGCAGGCTGTATTCTGTGTTGCAGTACAATACATTTCGGTCTGTTAATTCCACAGATCCCTGGCTGGTTTATGAACCATGCAGATTATGCTTCACAAACTTTACAGGGAGCTAATTATATGTAGAAAAACTAACGCTGTAGTGGTTAGAATATCATCCAATTGCTGCTTGCTTTTATTCATCCAAAATAAAATAGTTAATATACAGACAACTTGCAGAATATACAGTGTCACGGGAGATGGGACTCCTCGTACGGGTTCCCTTAATTATACTTTGTATCGTCTAATGTTTCCCTGCATTCAAATTAAATTGTTCCCTTCTGATTCTATGGGGTCCCATTGTTCGCAAATCATGTTTAGGCTTGATTGGAAGATTGTGCTTGTCCCATTCTAAATATGATCAAAATGAGGCTTGAGTATTAATCTGTGGATAAGTATTAATGTCTCTTTTGGATATGATATTGGAACACAAGGCTTGTTTATATCAAAGGACTCCTTATTTATTTATAAAATATTTTACCAGGAAAGATACATTGCAATTTCTCTCGTTTTCAAGTATGTCATGGGTCTACAAATCATTGCATTGTTACATTAGGGTACAATAAAATACAAAAACAATATTAATACACAATATATACAAAATTTAACATAGAACAGGTAGGAAATATATAATCAACCATGACAGGTGCATTCTGTTTTGAGGTATGTAGAGAGGGATCTCTTAAAGGACTTTAGGCTTAGGGATGATTTTAAATTGTGCGGGAGGTCGTTCCATAATTGTGGTGCTCTGTAGGAGAAGGAGGATCGGGCCATTTTCTTTTTGTATTGAGGTAGACTAAGTAAAGTGTTGGTACTGGATCGGAGCTTATAGGAAGTGGGAACAGCTGGGGAAAGCATTTTGTTCAGGTAGGGTGGGAGTTTCCCAGAAAAGCTCTTAAACACAAGGCTGGAAAGATGAAGGGTGCATCTGGATTCCAGCGATAGCCAGTTTAGTTCTTTTAGCATGTCACAATGGTGGGTGCTGTAATTACATTGTAGCACAAATCGGCAGAACGAGTTATACAATGTATTGAGGTTATTAATTTGGGATTGTGATGCAGATGCATATACTACATCCCCATTATCAATGATTGACATCAGCATTTGCTGTACAATCCTTTCCTTTACTGTAGGGCTTAGGCAGGATTTGTTTCTGTACAGGGCACCTAGTTTTGGATAAAGTTTAGATGCAAGCTTTTCTATGTGCAAGCCAAAAGATAGATTGGGGTCTAATATCATACCCAAGTATTTGAAAGAGTGGACTGCGGTCAGTGTGCCATTTGAATTTGTTTTGATGGATAGGTGGGAATTGTGTAATTTTTGTAATTTAGGTACTGTTCCAAAGATCATTGTGACAGTTTTGTCAGTGTTCAGGAAGAGTTTGTTTTTTGCGATCCACCATTCTACCTCTGTAAACTGGTCTTGGAGCACAGCCTCAAGTTCCGGTAGATCGGATTTGCTCGCATAGATTACAGTGTCATCTGCGTACATGTTTACATTTGAGGATTTGCAGACATTAGGCAGATTTATAAATAATGTAAATAGTAGGGGGCCGAGAATGGAACCCTGGGGACCACCACATGTGACTGGGAGAGGGAGGGAGTCGCTGTCAGAAATGGACACATATTGCAAGCGATCCGATACATACGATCGAAACCAGGTTAGCGAACGATCATCAATACCTGAGTTTTTGAGTTTGTGCAGTAGAATGTCGTGGTCTACTGTGTCAAAGGCCTTAGCAAAATCAAGGAAAATAGCTCTAGTTAGGGCTCCTTGTTCCATGCCAGCTTGGATATCATTGCAAACTTTTAAGAGGGCAGTTGTAGTGGAGTGATTCTGGTGAAAGCCCGACTGATCAGGGGTCAGATAATTAAATTGTTGGTAGTACTCACAAAGATGCCTATGGACACATTTTTCTAAGATTTTTGACAATAGTGGGAGCAATGATATTGGGCGATAGTTAGAAACCAAAGTAGTGTCACCACTTTTATGGATAGGCACTACTCTCGCAGTCTTCCAAAGTTTGGGTATGTATCCAGACACCAAGGATTCGTTAATTAGAGTTGAGACGGGTTTAGCAATTGCCGGCGCACTGAGCTTCAACAGCATTGCTGGGATTTGATCGGGTCCGGACTGGTTTTTAATTTTTAGATTATTAAGATGTTTTTTAATGACACTAATAATAGGTACAGGTCTAAAAAATAAACTAAAAATAAACTTGTCTATATTGGGCCTTTGCAAATTTAGTGTGACCTGATCCACATTAGTAGTTTCAGGATGCGTATCATTTATTAGCCTGGCAATCAGGGCAGTAGAGCATCCGACAAAATAATTGTTAAAGGCATTTGCTACATCTAAGGGAAGTTGCAGGGTTTGGTTACCCACTTTGACAGTGGAGGGTTGGGAGTGGATTGGGGGAGTTTGTAGTTTATTTAGGACTTTCCAAAAGTTTCTAGGGTTTGAGATGTTCTTGTTGAGATTTTCATAGAAATATTGGGCCTTGGCGAAATTTTGTCTGTTTTGTGCATATATTTCGCCATTGTCTATATGCACAGTGATCATTCATAGAGCCAGTATGTTTAAACTTTGACCACAAAGAATCCCGAAACTGGTACATTTGGATGAGGTCAGCTGTGATCCAGTTCATATGTGCTCCTTTTACCCTCACCTTCCGCAGCGGGGCATGCAAATTCCAAATTTGTAGGAGTTCAGACTGAAAGAATTCAACAGCACAGTCTAGATCTGGGGCAATGTTTAATCTGTGCCATGGGAGGTTCTTGATGTCATTTAGAAAGGATTAAAGATTAAATTTTTTTGAAGGACCTAGTTATTTTAACCTTGGGAGAAGATTTAATAGCCTTTATTTTGCGCACGCAGTACACTAAACAGTGATCACTGAAAATGTTTGGGAGAACACCGGCCTCCTGGATTCTATCAGGAGAAGTGTAGAAAATCCATTCGAGCAGGGTATGGTTATGGCTTTTAATGTTTACACGAGTTGGGGAGGAGATTAATTGCGTTAGCTGAAATGTCTTAAACAGCGTGCAAGAACTCTTATTTTTAGGATTCAGCCAATCAATATTAATATGGTTTCAATAAGGAGATGGGCTATGTCAGAAAGGGAATGCACAGGGGAGCTAGGTGGGCAGTAGATTCCTGCAACAATAATTGATTTACTGCACGGGATCTCAATTGTGCCAGAAAGGAAATCAAAGGTGGCAGGAGGACTAAGGTTTTGTAAAGGGGTAAACTTTATGGAATTGTCAACATAAATAACAATGCCTCCTCCTCTCTTTGCTCTGTCATTTCTAAAACATGAATAACCCTGTATTGCAATGGCGGTGTCTGGTATTTTAGCTGTTAACCATGATTCTGAGAGCACAATGATTTTTGGTTTGTAATGGGAACACCAGTCTTGCAGTGCATCCAGTTTAGGGAGTAAACTACGGATGTTGCAGTGCACAAAAGAGAGGCCTCTTTTAGTGGGGAGATTAGGACTAGAATTAGCTGGGGTACTAGGGTTAGAGTCCACATCACAGTCACATTTGGAAGACAAATGGGTTCAAATACCGCATTGCATCAGCTCGGCTAATTTAGCCAGAATCTTGTTTTTGTTTACCATTTACCATAGAGCATTTAGTTAATAAACGGAAAGCTGTAAGAGTGTGGGACATGTCCTAGATCCAGCTGTTCTTTGAAAGGCAGGCAGTGGCTTCTGTGATGATTTTCTTTGTGTCAGAAGACAGACGACAAATGGATTAACGGATTGGCTGACAGAAGGTGAGTTGCAGAATTAAGCAAATGTCTGGATCATCGTCCATTGTGTTCAAGTCGATGGAACAGTACCTAGTGACAAATAAAATTGTTATACAAACTAATGTTCAATTCAGCATTTACTGAATATTCATGATATAGGAAACAATAAAATCTGACACACAATAGAAAGTCATGTCTGTCATGAGTTATTAATAAACCCTTCACTTTGAGATGCTATACATAGTACAGAGATACACGTCTGTTTCTTCACAGACAGCGCAGTGTAACTTGAGATATAAAGATTCACTCAGCACATGGAGGACAGCATGAACAATTGAAGACAGCACATCGAATCCTGTAAACCAGTGGTATTTATACTTACCTGTAGCTGTCTTCCCCAGTGTACCATGCATGTGTGGGCATGCTCAACCACATGACTGTCGTGATGACGTCCGCAAGTATGCACTTCATGATTTGGATAAGCACATAAATACAAAGCACTTTTTCACTTTATACAGGTATCTCCTATGTATATATATCCTAAACTAGTATCAATATATATACACATACACATACACACACACATACACACACACACACATACACACACACTAATACAGGATTTAAGTTAATTATAGGATTCTTTGTTAACCACTCTTTTAGAATAATTCATGTAGCTGTATATATTGAGAACCCTGGGTACTAGTAGGACCCTGTTGTAATTGATAGATTGGCAGGGTTTTCTGGCAGTGTCCCGCGCTGCCATGACAACCAGGTACACAGTGTCCGCCATTACGGCAATCAGGTGGTGCAGCACGCCAACTAATGAATGCCGAACATAGTTTACATGTTGCCATGGTTCCCTACTGGTACACCGCGTTACCATGGCAACAAAGCATACAGAAGGACATCATTACGATGGTCATGTGGTTGAGCACGCCCACAAATGCGTGGTACACCAGGGGAGACTCTGGGAGCAATGCAGGACAGCTGGGGTAAGTCAATTAACTTATCAGTACAGGGGTATATATTTCAGCAGTTTTGAATGTGTATGTATTGTATGTTTTGATCTTGAAGAAAGTCCCAGGAAGGACTGAAACGATGCTCGTTTTTATTTTGTTTACTTAATAAATATTGGAATTTTAAAGACCGGAGTGCAGCCAACTTTATACTTGGAATATATATATACACGTCTATCTTCTGTCCATATTCCCACCTCTGATGCTCGCCTTCAAGACTTCTCGAGGGCTGCACCGTTCCTGTGGAACTCGCTTCCCTCCTTCGTTAGATGCTAACCCAGTCTCCACTCCTTCAAAAAAGCATTAAAAAACCCCACTTCTTCATAAAAGCGTTTCAATTAAACTGTTAATAGATCCTGACTGATTCCTCTTCTGTAACTGTCACTGGTCTAATACTATCCTTACCTTTTTGTGTCATTTTACCCCACTCCCTGTAGCATGTAAGCTCATTGAGCAGGGCCCTCAACCCCTCTGTTCCTGTGTGTCCAACTTGTCTGGTTACAACTACATGTTTGTTCGTCCACCCATTGTAAAGCGCTGCAGAATTTGACAGCGCTCTATAAATATATATATATATATATATATATATTATATTTTTATAAATAAATAAAAACATATCAGGATAGCACTCTCAGGACTTGAACAAAAAAAATAAATTAACTTTTATTACTTAACTTAAAAAGCGACATTTCAGTTTGATATACTCTAACTTTCATCAGGACAGGCACATAAAGATACAAACCCAACATATATACCCATAACAATATACTTACTCGAACGCTGACTTCTGCACGTGACCGCACGGCGTCATGCTCAATTACGCGGCCTGGGGACGTTGCCATGAAAACCCTTAAAAACACACACAAAGGGCATGTAAATAAACATGCACGAACATGCTAGTAAAAACAAATAATGGCAGGACAGACAAAATGCCCAAAATACAAGGACGAATAGCAAGTTAATACACAGGTAAAATTAAAACCTCTAGCTTGTCTTTAGCTTATACACAAATTATGAAATAAACAGATCATTAAATAGTTACCACTAATGTAAATAAAAGTGCTAAGAATATTGGACCCTCACAAACACTATTAATGATCCTTAACACAAAATTTAAGCAAAATAGTAATGTATAGGATTCCTACTTTTAGCAATAATAAGTTTACAACATGTGGCTCCTAATAGTTAGCCATGTATATGAAGCCAAGGTTCTAAAGACCGCAATACTCTCAAAGATCCTCCAGGGGGCTACAACAACCATAGTCTCACTCATAATGAAACGGACACTAACGTCAGTCACTCAGCAGAGAAGCCCAACTTACTGTGCATATTGATTATAAAAAATCCAAATAATAACAAGAAATAGACAAGTTACAATGACAATAATTGTGGGTCAGTAGGGCATGGAGACCACTGCCATACCGAGGCATATTCCTCATGGTGGGCACAGTAGGTCTCGTGTTGTCACATGCGGTTATTACCAGAAAAGAATTTGGTTGGTGAAATGGACACTAATAGGATATATAAAGAAAAATAATAAAAACATATTTTAAATAAAAACTGAGAAAACAAGACACACAACCTAATAAACCAACATTAGAACTGTTACTGCAATTTCTTATGATATATGGAAATGAAAACATAATTGAAGTAAATGACATGGAAACCTTTCCCCCAGGGTGGGTACCAAGTCTATATACATTCAAGCGTGACCAATGACTGATTGAAAGCAAACAAGAGATAATCCACATATAAACCATATGTACCATACATATACACACAGATGGTCCTCACTTAGCGACCTACCTGTTTTACGACGGCTCGCACTTACGACCAGGCTTAAGTGCGAACCGTCGTGGGGACTCCCTGCTCTAGTGCGCAGGTCTATGTTCGGGGAAGTTTCAGGAAGTTTTCCCGAACATAGACGAATGCACCAGAGCAAGGAATCCCTTAACTCCTCAATTACCGACCGATTTGTTCTACGTACGGGTCGTAGGAACGGAACCCGGTAGGTAAGTGAGGAGTGTCTGTATATGTATTATTTAAACATATTGAAGTAATTCTATTAATTATAATATGAGGGACCTGCTTGACAAACTATGTTACTCAAAAGTAACATAGGCCCAGCAAACCAATCTGGCAAACTGAAATGGGCAAGCCTTATATTTGGCCCTGTAACTTCCCAAATCCCCATAAACCCTGTACATAGGGGATACTGTTGAACTCGTGAGACATCGCTGAAAACAAATATGAGTTTTTTAGAGCAGTACCATGTATAATGCTTATAATATTAACAGTGAGAATGCAGTATTTTTGTGAAGAATGCAAAAAAAAACCTAATATGAACACTAACTTTGGCCAGGGTTTGTGACTAAGTGGCTATTAAAAAAAGTCTAGACATACCCCATTTTGAATACCTTGGGTTGTCTACTTTTACAAATAGTATGCCATGATGGGGTTAATTTTCATTCCTGGCCTGCGATACGGTCTCAAAGACAACATAGGCCCAGCAAACCAATCTGGCAAATTTTAATGTGTCAAAACTGAAATGGGCAAGTTTTTTATTTGACCCTGTAACTTTCCAAAACACCCTGTAACCTGTACACAGGGACGTCGTTGTACCTGTGGGACATCATAGAATACAAATGTGTGTGTTTTATTGCAGTAAAAGCTAACAGTATTATGACATGCACAGTTAAAATACCAGGCAGAACTTGAAAAATAACATTCATTAATTTCTCAAACTTTTTTTAGATTTCATTACCATTAACCCCTTAAGGACCAAACGTCTGGAATAAAAGGGAATCATGACATGTCACACATGTCATGTGTCCTTAAGGGGTTAAATTGTGTTTCATATATAAATATTTGATGTGAAATGAAAGCCCTGTTTCTCCTGAACAAAATGATATATAATAAGTGTTGGTGCACTTATTATGAAAGAAATGAATTATGGTTGAACCACACATAGCGCAAATTCCAGGTTTTGTTTGCGTTATGTTTTGATCACAACTTGTACAATTGGCTCAGTCCTTAAGGGGTTAATAGGTTAAACTCTGTAAGCTTTGAAGTTGTTGTTTAGTGGATGAGTGACTGCACTGGATCTTCTGTGTTTATATATATATATATATATATATATACACACACACACATACATACATACATACATACATACACACACACATATATACACACAGATACAAACACTGGCACACATGCAGATACACAGACAGACAGATACACACTGACACATGTAGATACACATATAAAACACTGACACATACAGGTATACAGGCAGGCACACATATATACAGACATCTAAAGATATACAGACATACAGACAAACACACTGACACACAGATATAGTATACACATACAGATACAAACACTACATGTGTAAATATACAGACAAACAAAAACATACATACATACTTACTGCAAGAAGTAATGAGCACCAGGAGAATGAATCCAAATCCAACACACACAAAAGTCAGAGGCAGAATAATAAACCGACCTGGAGGACAACAAAGAGAAATATTCGGGAGTTTGTACAAAATTGTCACACTTGTTTTATACATTTGCACCAGTTTTGTGCACATAAAACTGTTACTCCAGCATTTATACATTAGTGCCTTTTTCCCCTCCTTTTCTGTAGTGTAGTCAGAATAATCTCTTTCCACCAAATTCAGTGAGTTTATTGCAGTACATCACACCTCACCAGCACCATACACAATCCTCCTTTGCTACATGGGCACCAATAATGAAATGAAAGGAAAGAGAGGGGGAGTCACCACTGGTCCTGTCACATTAACAAATATTGTACTTTACACACACACACACACACACACAATGTATTGACATTGCAACTGCAGGAGTGTCAAACCTGCACACGTTAAGCTGGATGCAGATATATACAGTATATAGTTGAGTAAATAACCACACATGGCTTTAAAACAGGTGCACTCAATGGTACGGTAGCTACCGAGTCCAGTAGGACAACAACCGACTATATAGTGTTATATAAATTACTCTGGCTGCAGTCCCTCCATCACTCGCTCCCATCCACGTGCAATAAGAGAATTCTGTGCAGCCACATGATGACTAAATTGTAACCAAATGGCAGTCTATTTAGACCCCCTCAGACCTTTTCGCAGAGTCCTGGTTTGTTTATTATGAGTTTGTTCACCTTGTACTCTAGGTATTTCTAAGTTTGTCCCGTTTTCGTGTGTGTTTCTGGCTTCCTGAATCTTGGCTGGTTTTCCAGATTACATTTGTCCTTTAGAGCAGGGGTTCCCATCCCAGTCCTCACGTACCCCCTAACAGTTCAAGATTTAGGGATTGTCTTTTCTAAAAATACCATTGTAATCCCTAAATTCTGGACTGTTAAGGGGTACTTGAGGACTGGGTTGGGGACCCCTGCTCTAGAGGATTCATCAAAGTTCCCCTCATCTCAGGTTCTCACATTAAATGACTTTCTACAAGAGCTTAGGAGGGATATAGGGAAGATTTCCTCATCAGAACACTATGAAGTAACCAGTGGGCTTTGGGTGCGGGGGACTTGGCGCTTTGTACCAGCGCCCCCAGGCTACTCCTTTTTTTGTAATTGCACCAATTATCAGAAATAAGGCCTCCATTATGCTATAGAAGAAGGAGATCCTGATCTTTACACCAACAGAACATACCTTGGGGTGTCTGTGTCCTTGGAGGCAGAAAGGAAAGATATTTAGAGATTAGTGAGGCATCCAGCTAGCAAAATGCACACAAAGGAAGACCATGGTTACTGCACACATGAAAATAAGATTTGTGCAAAAATTTATTTTAAAGGGACACTAAAGTCACCAAAACAACTTTAGCTTAAAAGGGACACTGTTACCACCTAGACCATTTCAGCCAATTGAAGTGATCTGGGTGAAAACTCCCAGTAAAAAATTAAAAACCAGCGCACTCCCTATCTACTAAACAGCTACTTTGGTGCTGATGGATGTAGTTTTATTAAAAACACCTCATCTAGGCAAAAAAAAAAACAAGGTGCAAACTCCAATCACCCTTAACCAGGAGCATGTAATTATTGCAGTTTTTATAAACTGCAATAACTACCTGCTAGGGTTAACTCCTTCTCTAGTGGCTATCTACCAGACAGCCACTAGAGGGACTTCCAGGTGCTTAGAGGACTTTTGGTTGTCTAAAGAACGCTTGATGTCCTTACACTATGTCTTGCCGGAATCCCCATAGGAAAGCCTTGCATAATGCTTTCCTATGCTGGAATACTAATGTGAGTGCAGCCATTGCCACGCATGCGCATTAGGTCTCCCCCCATCGGCGGACATCGTGGGGGAGGAGCACCAAGGGACATCGCGCTGGACCCAGGTAGGTGACAGAAGGGGTTATTAAGGGGTTTGTTTTCCCGGCACTGTAGTTTCGTTTTAATGAAGCAGTTTTTTTGTTTGTTTTTTTTTGTGTTTTTTTTAACAAACTATTTTGTGCTTTATTTACTATACTGCAATCCTTAGATACTTAGCAAAGTAATTACACACCTTAGGCCACAATAGCACATTATGAAAAGCTTCCAGCGTTGTCTATGGTGGCAGTTTTGCCATTTACAATTTCTTCACTGTTTGCTGTTTAGTTAATCTTCCTGATTTCATCCTGGAGGGCATTTCACTGCCATCAAGCATCCATACCATATGGCTGTATGATATCAAGCACCTATTAGAAAATTAATTCTAGAAATGTTGCTATAATCAGTGTTTTTATTTCTTGCAAGCTATGATAATGATCATGTGTAACCAGTGAATACGCCTGTACTGAGCTGATTCAGTGTTCATACTTACATACCCTTATCAGCTGTGAACTGATATTTCATTGTTTTTATTTTATAATTTTTTATTTTGCAGTGCATGGGTAAGTTATGAGACTTACATTGACATTTTGATGTATAGAAACAGAATGAGATTAAGAGGTAGATTGTCAGAAATTGTCATATTCACAGCATTTTTTTTTTTTTTGAGAGTAACAGGAAAAATAGCGATGAAAAATATCTACCATGTGTATGGGTGGTTTGGACAGAGGGTAAGTTAAAGGAATTACATTTCCTAGGTGCTTATGTCGCTTAAGTGTAGGTCGGAAGTTTAATACAGAGTAGAGTAATAACTAGGCATCTCATCCCGGTCACACTATTTTTGTCTAAGATGTTGGGCTAACCTTGCTGGTGATGGCATAGTGTGATAGCGGTGTTTGCCTATAATTTGTTCGACCCAGTAGGGTGTTATGTTCCTGAGCCCACTGTGTGTCAGAGTGTGGAGGATGCGTGGGTGATCCTATGTCAGTGAGTGTCATAACAGGTGTGGGGACCGAGGGCATCATTTTGGTACTTATGTGGTGGTGGTTAGTTTGTGGTCTGGATGTACTCGGTATGGGCTCGGGTGAGGTAGTGCCCCTAACCTTGGGGCCTGCTGGGGTGGTGGGGAGGGCGAGTAGGTTGTGTTGAGGCTGGGGTGGTGGGCTGTTTTGGGTTTTCTGCCAGTGGTGGGGCAAGACCCAGAGCACCAAGGAAGGCTGGAGCCTCTTGCGGGGACGTGATCCTCAGTACAGTTCCATTATGTGTGGCCGAGAGGGACCACGGTGTTGTCCAGCAGTAAGGTATGCCTGCTTATTGTAGCGTGCTTGTGGTCGCTCAGGGAGTTCTGCGCCATTGTAGGGTAGCTTTTGCAAGGTCTTGGTACATAGTGAGTTGTGTTGACTCAAAATTGTATGGCATCTGATCCCGTAAGGCCTGCATGATGGTCCGCTTGTCTTGCAGAGATGAGCATCGTGCTATAACATCTCGTGTCGCTGTGGCTGGAGCTTGTGGAGACTTATTTATGCAGTATACTCCAAAAAATATGATCCTTTTAGCTTGAGTTTGAGGAAGGAGTGTGGTCATAAAGCACCTGAAATAATGGGGTAATTCCTCTATGAGGATCGCCTCAGGGACGCCCCGAATCTTAATGTTGCAGCGCCTACTTCTGTCTTCTAATAGTGCAATTTGGGCAGTGATAGAGATTTGGGATTGGTGGAGACTTTGAATGGAATGGGCTTGAATGTCCTCTTTGGTTGCCAGGTTTGCCACCTTAAGGGTCTGCAGGTGCTAGGACTGCCCATGGTTGTTGTGATTCCGGCTGTTGGGTCGGGCTGCTGGCCTCTGGGGACTCGTGGCAGGCCTCATGGCAGTCACCAGCGGCCATCTTAGCTGGCGCCTGTTGCTGCAGCATGGTGCCAATGTCCCTAGTGTGGGCAGAGGTCAGCACTGTGTTTCTGCGACCTCCGTCCCATTTGTGTGGAGGTTTGTGGGCACCTTTGCGGGGTCCCAGCCTGGGTGGGGATTCCCCCGGTCTCCGTGTGGGCTATGGGGTCCTGACCCAAGGAGGTATGGGGTGATATAGGCCCCTACCTTGTGGCTCTGCCGTTTCGTGCCCGGGTCAAATAAAAAGGGCATCTATCAGGAGGTGGACGTGTCCAGTAGCAGCCTGGTTCTGTCTCATCCGGCACGGATGCTTGTTTCGGCAGATATTTGAGGTATTCTGTGCAGTAGTGTAGGAGCTCAGCAATATGGCGTTTGCTCCGTTCCGCGGTCAGGCTCTGCCCCCTCTAATTAAGCAGTTTTTTTGTGTATGGATCATGCCTCTGAACTTTCACTGCTCAATTCTATGAAATTTAGGAGTAAAAACTCTTGTTTCGTTCCTATATTCACTACTACAAAGGGAGACTCCGACAGAGACCCCTGCCTTTAAGGGCAAGTGGGAAACCGCACTGGGGAGGACTTTTACCAAGACAGAATGGGAAAAAATACCTGCGAGTCCGTCATTAAAGTGGGCCTGCGAGCCTGAATATTTACCTGTTTTTAGACCTGTTCTGGCACATGTTGTGCTTTAAGTTATACTATGCCTGAAGAGACCAGCGAGTTTCACCGTGAGAAAACAATGACAATGAAACTAGATTTACAAAAAAAAACAATTTTGTTTGTCTTGATGCAACACTAGCCACACCTCCCTTAGCTGTGACTGACACATCCTGCATGAAAACAATCAGATGTAACTTACTTTTAAAGTTTTTATTTCCTTCTCTGTAACTGAACTTTAAATACATACAAGAGACTCCTGCAGTGTCTAGTAAGCTATTAACAGAGTAGAAGACAAGAACATTTTAAATTTAACAGAATTTGCAATAAAGGAACTGTAAACATTAGATTACTTTTTACAGGAAGTGTTTGGGAAGGCTATGTAAGTCACATGCAGGGAGGTGTGCCTAGGGCTGTTTAAACAAAGTGATTTAACTTCTAAATTGCAGAGAATTGAGCAGTGAGACTGCAGGGGCATGTTTTATGTCTATCTTCTGTCTGTACTCCCACCTCTGATGCTCGCCTTCAAGATTTCTCGAGGGCTGCACCGTTCCTGAGGAACTCGCTTCCCTCCTCCGTTAGATGCTCACCCAGTCTCCACTCCTTCAAAAAAGCGTTAAAAACCCACTTCTTCATAAAAGCGTTTCAATTAAACTGTTAATAGCTCCTGATTGATTCCTCTTCTGTAACTGTCACTAGTCTAATACTATCCTTACCTTTTTGTGTCATTTTACCCCACTCCCTGTAGCATGTAAGCTCATTGAGCAGGGCCCTCAACCCCTCTGTTCCCGTGTGTCCAACTTGTCTGGTTACAACTACATGTCTGTTCGTCCACCCATTGTAAAGCGCTGCGGAATTTGACGGCGCTCTATAAATATCATAATAATAATAATAATAATAATAATAACACTGCTTCATTAAGCTAAAGTTGTATTGGTGACTATAGTGTCAAAGCAATTTGCCGAATTAAATTCCTGGTAATATTCAAATTAATTGATTTTGAATCATTTAACTGTGGCTTTAGCTGTGAAATCAACAGGTGATACTAATTCAGAATCGATTCATTCAACAGGGATTTCATTTGGACAAATCAATTCAAACTAATTTTTGCACAAAAGTCTAGAAGAGAGAGCAGAGATGGTTTTACATTGCCAAGCAAATGGGAGGCATCTCGACACCAAAATTATTAAATATAGAAATGCAAGTCCAATAGGAAAGTTAGTGATGGTGCCAGGAGTCCATTTTAGAGGCTCAACTCGTACCTTTGCGCTGTAAGGGTCTGGTATCCTTCCGGCTGTCTTCATTGTCCAAGTGCTTGGGTCTCGGCGTCTGTGCATATGCTGGGAAAGCAATCAGAGATGAATAATTTGGGAGTAATTTTATCAAAGAAACTATATTCCACATGATTCTAAATTCCTGGGAACAGATCAGAAAACAATATTATTTGAATCTAAATTATCCCATTTTGATGCAAGGCCTGACTAGACACGTTACTCGAGGAGTTTTTAGACAGTAGTAATTGTGTCCAGATTGTCAGGCACCTAGCTCATGAAAATGCTACCTATAGGCTTGGCCAGACCCATAGTGAGGCAGTCACGCCATTGTCATCACAGCACTAGTACAGCCATTTTCTCCATAGTCAGATGACCATAACAGAGCATAGTCATATCAATGTGTTTATTTAATTTAAGTGGTTTCTATAAAATGGGATAGAAAAAGCCTGAAACCTATCTGCAATTACCTTGCTCAATCAGAAACAATGGTAAATATTTCAGATGGCGGAATGTCATATGAAATGCTCTACCTTTGCAACTCTGACATCACATTCATTTTGTTAGAGGGGTTGCAATGAGAGTAATAGATGAACACTCCAAACAAGTAAATACTGTAGAAATAAATAAGGGTAGTTTGCAATATGAGTTTCATATATAAATAGACTATTGTACAGTTTATTTTATGTAAGAGTCCCACTGATATGGAAACAGAGACTGTGACGGCAGATAAGAACCATTCGGCCCATCTAGTCTGCCCAATTTTCTAAATACTTTCATTAGTCCCTAGCCTTATCTTATAGTTAGGATAGCCTTATGCCTATCCCACGCATGCTTAAACTCCTTTACTGTGTTAACCTTTACCACTTCAGCTGGAAGGCTATTCCATGCATCCACTACCCTCTCAGTAAAGTAATACTTCCTGATATTTTTAAACCTTTGTCCCTCTAATTTAAGAAGCACAGAATATGCATGTGACATTACATGTAATATCAGGACACAACATGGTGGTCTTGGCCATTATTCAGTTACAGGAGATAATGATCAGTGTTTGGAGAAACCTTTCGATAGACATCCCTTCTAATGGGATGGGGAATCTGTATTCATGGTACCTCTCCATCCTATAGAGGGGGCTGCAGATTTGTTTTACCCAGCATTCCCTATATGTGTGAAAATGATCATTCAGATGAACTTACCCACAACCTCAAGCCAAACAGTCTGAATTTCAGTAGAGTTGACCTGGAGAGAATAATTTCCGCTGTCTGAATCAGTCAAATTGTAGATAAGAAGAGAGCCGTTCCGAAACATTTCTTTCCGATCACCATTGCCATGTAGTACCATAGGGATTACATGGCAGCTAGCGATCAAGCTTCCATTGAGATAGATTTCTACATAAGTATACGCATCATATTCCTCATCGACCCCTAATAGAGACACAGATCCGCCTTTTGGTGATTTTATAAGCGAGATAGCATCTATAAAGAGAGAAATGTTATGGTGGGATTAACCATATATTCACTACATTGACCTACAACAATTACTATACATCTGTGCTCCTTATTACGCATCTCAGTGTATAAACACATACTTACAGCTAGGGATCGACCGATGTTTTTTTTAGAGCCAATACCGATAATCTGTGAACTTTCAGGCCGATAGCCGATAACTTACCTATATTCTGTACATTTACCATTTTTAAAAAATAAACTATTTCTAAAGGCAAATGCACAAAATATACATGCCACGTGTAGTGGATGCAGTGTGTTTAGACAGGGGAGCTGTGTGTGTGTAGTGGATGAAGTGTGTGTTTGTGTAGTGTCTATAGTGAATGCAGTGAGTGTGTAGTGTGTATAGTGAATGCAGAGTGTGTGTTTGTGTAGTGTGTATATATAGTGAATGCAGAGTGTTTTTGTGCAGTGTGTGTATAGTGAATGGTGGGTGTATAGTGAATGTAGTGTGTGTGTGTGTGTGTGTATATATATATATATATATATATATATATATATATATATATATATATATATATATAATGAATAGAGAGTGTGTATGTTTGTATAGAGTGTGTATATAATGAATGCAGAGTGTGTATATAATGAATGCAGAGTGTGTGTGTTTGTATAGTGTGTGTGTATATAATGAATGCAGAGTGTGTGTAGTGTGTTTGTATATAATGAATGCAGTGTGTGCATGTGTGTATATAATGAATGCAAAGTGTGTGTTTGTGTAGTGTGTGTATATAATGTAGAGTGTGTGTGTGTATAATGAATGCAGTGTGTGTGTTTGTGTAGTGATGTAATTTGTGTAAAATGGGCGGGGGGGCACTTTTTATTTTAATTTTATTTTTGATATTTTTATGAGATAGAGATATATATATATATATATATATATCTCTATTATTTTTTTTTGCCTGGCCAGGGAGGGGGGAATATAGCAATCCCTGGTGGTCCAGTGGCACTGGCTGAGCAGTGGGGGTGGCCCACAGCAAGCACTTACCTCCCAGCAGCTCCTCCAGCTCCCCAGTGTAAATCTCGCGGTCTGCGTGTCACGCGTAGCGTTGCCATGGTAACCCGTGGCAACACTCTCTGACGGCCGCGGGTCTCGTGAGATTTACACTGGGGAGCTGGAGGAGCTGCTGGGAGGTAAGTAAGCACTTGCTGTGGGCCCCCCAGGCTCATTACATGGTATGTATTATCAGCAATATTGGTATCTATATTGACCGATATTGCAGAAAATACCGAATATCGGCCGATAATATCGATAAAACCCATAATCGGTTAATCCCTACTTACAGCACACGGCTTTGAGTATATATACAGGGCACAATTTCATGAACACTATTAGCTAGGCCAAAACGTTACTGACAGACAGGCTGCAGCACTTAATCCTGCCTCTAAATGGCAATAATATATATATACACACACACACACACACACACACAAATTCATTAATAAATTCTATTAATGTAATCTTTTCACAGAATTAAGTGATTTTATTAGTTATAGTTTGAGGGAGCTGTCTGACAACCAAGGCAGAAAGTCCAGAGTATTTCATTTACTGACCCTGTAACTTTCCGAAGTTTGTGTGTGTTTTATTGTGCTAAAATCTAACAGTATCATGGCCATCGCAGAACTTGAAAAATAAAATGTAATCATTTATCACACTTTTATTATTCATATTAAATTATGTTTCTTATATCAATATTGATGTGAAATGAAAGCCCTGGTTCCCCTGAATTAATCTCTATATAATAAGTGTGGGGGCATTTAATGTGAACTTGGGGAATTCTGGTGGGACAGAACGTGTGACCCTGGCCCAATCCTTAAAGGGTTAATCAGCAAACTGTGATTGGCCCCGCCCCCTCAATGCTCAGGACATGCTGGGGTTGCTGGGGATCCGATCCACCAATCAGAGCCGGACATGCTGCGGTTGCTGGGGACCCGATCCACCAATCAGAGCCGGACATGCTGCGGTTGCTGGGGACCCGATCCACCAATCAGAGCCGGACATGCTGCGGTTGCTGGGGACCCGATCCACCAATCAGAGCCGGACATGCTGCGGTTGCTGGGGATAAAACACTCCGCCCCTTCTCTGCACACGGCGCAGAGCGGCTTGACAGACGGATGGGAGACGCAGGATTCCCGCTCCGGCCAGCCACCCCGTTATACCGCCAGCCGGATATCAACACGGTATACCGCTACCAGCACGGATAATATGACCCAGTCACGGCCGCCATGATAGGTATTACACCCGCTATCGGTCAGATTCATTTTTTTATCAGAAGCTTTCCCTTCCACAATCATCGGAGCTCCACCCCCTCCCCGTGTCGTCATCGGAGCTCCACCCCCTCCCCGTGTCGTCATCGGAGCTCCACCCCCTCCCCGTGTCGTCATCGGAGCTCCACCCCCTCCCCGTGTCGTCATTCCGACCATGCTACATGCTCCCCTTACCTTGCAGGACCTACCTGGCCAGC